CTTTAATATGAAAAAAAAAAGCTTGGGGAAAATTACAAATCTGGCCTCATTAAAATTAAGAACATCTGCTTTGTCAAGGAGACCATTACCACACTGATAAGGCATGCCAAGATAGGAAGAAAATATAATAGACAAGGCATGCCAAAATAGGAAGAAAATATAGTTCAGAGCCATCAAAAGATGGCACAAATATATTTAATAGCTCTTAAAACTCAATAATAATGCAAGAAGCCAAGCTTTTAAATGGGCCAAATAAGAACTGACACTTCATAAAAGGTACACAGTAGGCATAAGAAAGAATGCTCGACACGAGTCAGTAAGGAAATACAAAGCCAAACAAACAAACAAAAGCCCCCGTGGGTCCACTACACAGCCTGCAGAAGAACCGAAACAAGAAGACGAGGCACATGGCACAGTCCTGCTCACAGGCTGCTGGCGGGCACCTGGAGGTGACGGACTACTTTCAGAGCAGTGTGTGGTCTGAAACCCCAGCTCTCGGAAGGCAGAGGGTCAGTGCTGGACTAAACGGTGAGACCTGGTCCCAACCTTTCTACCACCCTGAAAAAAAGTTTGGCAACTTTAAACCTTACAAAAATGTGAGGGGTTAAGAACTGTATCTTTGTTTTAACTATTCAAACAGCATGGATATATAGTAATACTTAATTTCTTCATGATATTAATAAAAACACTTAGAAGTCCAAACCACAAATTATCACCACTAGAAGCAGACATTAGCCAGTAACTAGACTCTTAGGTACTACCCAAAAGAAATGAAACAACTATCTCTCTACAAGGCATTCTGCACATACTAGGACTGTTACCAAAAGACAACCACAATTATTAAAGTTTGGAAAAGTTAAGTCTTAAAACATAAACCAACTAAATTGGTCAAAACTTAAGCTACCAAGTGCCAGTAAAATCCAGACTAAAATTCTTTCCCAGATTAAAGCTGTTTTCTACACTGTGCACAGTTGGTCAAGGAAAATCATTCTTCCCAACTGATCAAGTTCCTCATTTGTAAAGGGGGAAATGATTTATACACCATGCTCCTATAAGAATTCTATGAGCTAACACATGCAAAAGCACTGGAAGACATTTGTCTTAAGCATTAATCACTGCACTTTTATAACTAATTCTTCCCACTCAGAAGCAATTACTGGATTGAATATCTGACGTATTGTGGGCTCTCAGGGTTTTCTAGATGTGTTTATCTGCTAGAGCAGATCATCTCATCACAGACTTAACATCTTTGTTTTTATGGGGTTGTTGGTTTCAGACAGGGACCCTCAACTGAGAAAGTGCTTCCATAAGATCCAGCTGTAAGGCATTTTCTGTTCTATAGAACTGTGAGCAAAAGAAACCTTTTTTCCCCAAGCTGTGTTTGGTCATGGTGTTTCATCACCTCAATAGGAACCCCAACTAAGAAAACCATCTTCTGGTAAAAAGATTTACAAGTAGTTAAGAGCATTCACGACGATTTCAGAGGGCCTAAGTTCAGTTACCAGTACCCACACCAGGCAGTTCATAATTGCCTGCAGCTCCAGCTCCAGCGAATCCAGACAAAGCCCCTCTTGACCTCCGCAGGTACTCCACTCACATGCACATACTGCCACAGACACAAATAAATCAGTCTTGGAAAGTCACAAAAAGATGTATGTAGACGCTGTTAGGTGAAAGGTTGATGGAGAACAGGATGTTTGCAGGGTGCCAAACATAGCATTTCTGTTTGACTCAGTCAAAGAGGAAAAGCTGCAACTTCCAATCCAGTGCCACTCGATCCTACAACTCAAGCCCACGCCCCCACTAGTAGGACAATAAGAAATGAAGTGAATCCTCATGTGTGGTGGCACATGTTGCAATCCACCGCTGCTATAAAATACTACTTTTCAAAAATAGTCCCAATTAATGTGATTAAATCTTGATGTTTCTCCAATTTTACAGGAAATACAAAGGTGAAGGAACTTAGGATACAGGGCCAGTTTACTGGAAGGTCAAAGGTACACGGGACAAGAACAAACAAACAGGTCCTTCTTCGGGATTGAAGATGTAAGAGCATAACAACCAAATTATTTTGACTTCAACAAGCCTATCAAATAAAGACCTGGGGCTGGGATGCAGCTCAGCGGTAGAGGTCTTCCCTAGCATGCCGAAGATTCTGGGTTCAATCCTCAATACGACATAAACTGGGCAGGTGGTACCCACATGGCATCCTGGCACTCATGAGGTGAAAGCAGAAGGATCATGAACTCAAGGTCTTCATCTCAGATTACATAGTTTGAAGCCAGCCTGAGTTACTCGGGACTCTGGCTCCAAACCAAGATGGGCTGAACAAGCCTAGTCTCAAAAGGTAATTCATAAAGTTCTATTTAAACCTGACAGAGGGGGTTGAGAATTGAGCTCAGCAGTAGAGCACTTGCCTAGCAAGCGCAAGGCCCTGGGTTCGGTCTTCAGCTCTGAGATGAGAAGAGAGGAAAAAAACCAAACAAACCTACCACAGCTAGTGTAATTATGATAGATAGGGGTCTAAAGGTAGTTTTAAAAACTACAAGATAACTAAACCATAGTCCCCTTTCCCCTTATCCATGGATATTACATTCTAAGACTTCAGTGGATTCCTACAACCATAAATAGTACTGTCTTTTTTTAAAAGATTTATTTATTTATTATGTTCTGCCTGCATGTATGTATTTATGTATGCATTTATTTATGTATTTATGTATGTATGTGTGTGTTTGTTTATTTATTTATTTATGCCCGCCAGAAGAGGGCACCAGGTCTTATTATAGATGGTTGTGAGCCACTATGTGGTTGCTGGGAACTGAGTCCAGGACCTCTGGAAGAGCAGCCAGTGCTCTTAATGTCTGAGCCATCTCTCCAGCCCCACTAGTACTAAGTTTTATACAGACACACCGAATAATGCGTAGTCTATAAGTGGGCACCATAAAAGATTAACAATAAACAAGACAATAACGACATCAATCTACTGAAATAGAACTTATAGTGATACCCCTCCCGTGCCATGGCGGGGATGTTGCATTGAGCAGAATACCCTAAACAAAGGGATGAGTCACATTCCTGGAAGGACAGAGCAGGACCTTGGACAAGAGTTCATCACAATACTCAGAATTGAGTGCAACTTAAAACTGGAATTGCCCTTAACAATTTCAAACCATTATTCAGAGCAGATAACTGAAACCACCCAAAATAAAAAATAGAACAATAAATTCAAGTTCTTAAGTCTTAAAAGCAAAAGCTCTTCCACGGCAGCTATGGAGTGCCACGGGGAACCTGAGAATACGTAATAAAACTAATTGACTACCAGAACCTTCCATAAACTAGAAAGTGCAATCCATGGGCTTACGGGAGTCTCTAACACCCTTTTATAGGGTCTGCAAGGCCAAAGCCAGTTTCATAATATTACAATATTAGTCACCAAATTCTTGCTGCCATATACTCATGGAAAAAGAATGTGTTTTGTTGACAAACGTCTTCAAACAAGCACTGAAACTATTAATCTTGAACCTTTTATACAAACATATAAATATTCTGTATGATAAAATGAGAAATGTATAGACCACTACCAAGTAGGATATTTTTAATACAAATTTCAAAGCAGATCAGTTTTAATTTAGTAAAGTGCAGAAAGTTCACAAATGCATTTTGCAATTCCATTTTGCAGCCAACATTTAAGAGTACTATTCATCAGGTTTTGCTGGACAACACAGAAGAATGCCTGATTTGATATGTGTGTATGGTTGTATGTCCATATTTTATTAATATGCTTTAAATTATCGTATCATAACACATTGACTATATAGAAGCAGAAATAAAACACAGGGGTCTTTTTATTAAGCTAGACATTAAAAGTCTTACAAAAATACCAAAGAGTAAGGGAAGGGGCATCGTTTTTAATAAAAAAAAAATATTATTCATGATCCAGCAATTCCAAATACTCAAATGAAGGACATCAGTATTCAAGTAATATTTGCAATCCAATATTTACTGAAGTCACAGTAGCCATGATATAGAATCAACCTACATGCTCATGAATGGATAAATAAAATATGAAACGGGTGTGATGTTCAGCCACAGAAAACTAAATCTTATCACTCATAGCAACACGAAGAGAACTGGAAGATACTGTTATTAGACGAAGTAAGCAGGCACAAAGCTCAAGCACCCAGAGGCCGGGAGCTAAAGAATCAGGACCGTGGGAGCTAAGAGAACTGGCCTTCGAGAACTGGGTATAAAATGGTAGCTATAAACTACTGGAAATGGAGAGATATGGGCCGTGGGGTAGAGAAAGAACGGCTAACTCTCACCAGCTGCAAGCGTGTCAAATTACTTCCTTGTTTCTGCAGACAGGTTATCACTGTGTAGCCTGGCCTGGCCTTGAACTCACGCTGCTCTTACCTCTGCACCCTGACTGTCAGGATCCTGAGTGTGTACTGCTGTGCAACAGCAGGGGTGACTTTAGATGTTCTGTGACACAGGACAGTGACTGTGGATGACCACAGTTAACCATGTATCTCAAAATAGCCAGCAGTGCAGATTTTGAAAATTTCAAACACAAAAGCACATGAAGTGATGTTAAACAAAAATTCATTAATATTAATATGTATTATTTTAATTCAATTAATAATAATTTTCTAATTCCATAGGGTTAATTTATATTACAGTAAACATCAGCAAATGTAATTCACATAAACAGAACCTCTTCGAAATTTTAAGCATTTTTCTCTGGATGTAAGGAGGCCATAAGACCAAAAAGTAAAAGAATACCTGATTTACAAGAATGAAACAACAAAATACACTAGTAAGTCTAAGAGCAGTCAAGTAACTAGAAAGGAAGGTGCATTCTAAGTCCACCGCAAATGATACAAGCAAAATCAACAACAACAACAAAAACAAATCTGCATAAATCTGGGTAGCAATGCGCTGTGGTACAACCGTGTCAGCCTTCCGCAAACAAACAAGAACTCCAGCCTGCGGCCTCTTACCCTGACTGTGAAGACTGGCAGGACTGAGAGACGGCTGGTGCGGCTCTTTAGTCGGTGTTGGGTAAGCTTCTTTCCCTTGGCGCTGACTCATCTTTCCTGGGGTCAAAAGCTGAGATTCGTCACTGTTTGCTACAACAGCTCAAGGAGAGAAAAGAAAAGTAATTACCAGTCAAGTCATGGGTTTTATGACATAATTAATAACTGGGACTAAAACTGAAATTCTTTTATGATTATAGGAATCTTACTACTTTAATAAGCTTGCGTAATCATTCTGTTTTTATGTTCATTACCATAAATCCAAGAGGAGCAGACAGCTAAGCCTCAGTTTACACATTACAGACATTGTACATATCCACCTGGTAGGGCCCCTATGGTTTACTGTGTATCTTTCACAGGGTAACGTAACTCCTCATTATCTGCCAATGCAGCAGGGAAAAGACAAGTCATTTCAGAGAAGAGTCACGAATGGAAAGACTTACAGCCGTATGGATGATCAGCAGAGGAGAAAACCAAACTGTACATGCAACTGAATTTCTATTCTGGTTTCTAATTTCTGATGGCAAGATTTCAGTTTCAGAGACAGTGAAATTTGGGTTCAGAGACTGCGTTCCCCAAGACTAAACAGCAAATAGCAGGCGAGATTCAGTCTCGCACTGGGTCCCAAAGTCTGTCTTCAAAAGGCTTCTGGGCAGGGGCTCAGCAGTTAGGAGCACCTGTTGCTGTTAGAGGAGCCCAGTTTAGTTCCCAGCCCCCACACGGTAGTTCACAGCCATCCATAACTTCAGGTCTCGGGGACCCAATGCTCTCTCTAGACCTCTGAGGTCACCAAGGCCCACATGTGGCACACAGACATGCCTACAGGCAAAACACTGACACACAAAAGCCTTTAAAAACAAAACAAACAAACAAAAACGCCGCCACCCCAACTAACTACCAGTTTGTAGAGAACTGTGCGCTGCTTCTCACCCTCCTGACCACGCTACCAATGCACAGGAATAACCCAAAAGGATGAAAGGAAATTGAAAATGAAAACGATGAGGGAACGGGGCAAATCAAACCCACAGCCCCTATTACCTCCACATACTTTTCCATGTTTCTGTGCTCGCGAGACAGTTTAGTTTCATTTTAAAAATGAATGATTTGGTCTTCACTTGCCAATTAACTAGAACCTCTCGTTAATATTTTTACCACTGTATCTTTTAAAAAATCAAACAGTTTCACATATTTCCTATTGTGCTAAAGTTTTCAAAATTATATTTTAGCTCCAAAATATAAATACAAAGCCAAAATACAAAGTACTCATTTATTATCCAAGTAAAGGTATGAAAAACATTTACCATAAAGTTAAAACAAACAAAAAACCTATGGACAGGTAGCCCCTAGATTTCTATCTCCACTTATAATATCTCCCATATCCAACTGCCAGCCTGTGGAAAGAGAAACTGAAAATGAAGAGAACGGAAAAAGAAAATGAAAACAATACCCATTGCTAAAGTCAACAGGCATCGTGGACGGACCTGGAGCACGGCCTGGGCTCTGCTTCTGCTACCTGTCTCTCCTCTGTCTCCCTGCTCTTCTGTCCCCACTTTCCCAGGGCAAATGCAGAGATGGTCTTTCATTCTCCTTTCTCTCACACTTCGTATCCAGGAGTTTGTGGACTATCTGGACTCTCCTTCAGACGATTCTGGAATGCTACCTCTCCCCACCTGCACAATTCCTACCCTGGGCTGACCATGTTGCCCTTCACTGTGTGGGGTTCATTTTTCACCCAAAGGCATAAACAGTCATTCTAATTTGAGTTACTAAACCAGATGCACATCAGCTGGAAGTATTCTTAATAGCTTTCCATTTTATACAGTGCCTGGTGCCACAAGCCTGTAATCCCAGCTGCTGGGAAGACTGAGTCTCCCCATGCTGGCCCAGGCTACAGCGTGCTGAAGTGCACTGTTTCAGCTCATCACTATAGCTTGGGTGGAGTGCTGGTGCCATCCTAGTGCAGGGCCCTGGGTTTGATCCCTAGTAAAAAGAAGAAAGGAAGAAAGTGGGGGGGGGGAGAGG